AAGCCTACTACTGTATATGGAAAAGGTGTTAGAAGTTTAGCACTTGTGGTAAACGGATAATAATATACAAAATACAGAAAATTAAGAGACAGACGATGTGTTTGTGTTGGCATTTGATGTGAAATATCAGTACAACTTAAGGCAAAAGATGTTGTGTTTCATTTAGTAAAGCAATGAATTCTTGTCTATTATTCTATTATTTACAGTTATTATAGTTTTCTCGTTGCAAGAAAAAGTTGTCTAACAACCAAAAACTAATGACTAATTTTTTGTAAACAATTCTTGTCTGTTGTTTAAGAAATATTAGAAAACTTTCTGAAATAAAAATTTCACAAAAATCATTTCAAAAGCTTTAATGTATTAAACGAGTTTTAAAGGTCCTTTTACAGTAATACAATTCTAATGGTGTAAAAACATTAATAAAAACTTCGAAATCAACTAATAATACGGCAATAATGATAGTTTATCTTGCCATATTAGCAGGATAAAATTATAAATATTAAAAGGAAAGTATGATGTCATATGAGACCATGATCATTAAAATTATGAAGTACCCTGGGAAACATTTAAGACTATCCATATATAATAGCACTGGAAATGATTTAAGTTCCCATTTCTATATAATAATTTCGTGATAATTAAAGATGTTTGCAAATAAATATTTAATTATAACATTTAGATAATTGCGAATGAATTAGAAAGTAAAAACAAAAATCTAATTAAACAAATATAATACAAGTCATAATTTAGTACCAAAATTACATTTCATTTATATAATCGATTTCACCAAACTATCAAATATAGTAATATTCATATATTTATTATATATTAATATATGTTTTCATAAAAAACACGAATACTTATATAATACGGCATAATATAGTTTTGAGTAATATTTATTGAATAATATGTTAATGGATAGTTAAATTCAAAGATCATTTATATATTTATAAATATTCCTAACCTATATTACTGTGTTTTTATTCAAACACAAAAGTTGGCAATTCTTAAACAAATACATAATATTGTGCTCCAAATGATGGCCTCAGGCTCGGCATCAAAGTAAAGCTGAATTAAGACGTCTAAAACTGATAAGACTTACATATTTTTATTTTCAACATTTTAGACCATTTTTCAAACAAAATAAATGGATTCCATGAGAATATCGTAAACATTCAAAACAGCCTATTGTAGCAAAACATCATTTTTCAATATTATAACAGTATATGAATCGCATAAAATAAATACAAGAATGTGTCGTTTTTTACTCCGTTTTCAAAATCGATTCACAATTTAAGCAAATATTTTGCTGGTATTTCTATTTCGCTTAAACTAAATAATTACAATAAATAAATAAATGAGAGAAGTGTGTGTGTGTGTGTGTGTGTTTATATCTTTGTGTTGTATTCATGCGATCTGTTTGTGACAATAAACTGAAGACATGTCTTACAGTGATTCACATCCTTTGAGAGCATTCTGTTCCCTCGACTCACATCTAATTTATGTTTAATTTGTAGATATCTCTTAATACAAGAGCAGTGTTTCTCATTTACCCAATCATTGAGTTCATGATTTGCTTTCTTTACATTTCAAACCCTTATTTAACACAATATTGACATTGAATTCACTGATGGAATAATCATTTCTTCTTCATTTATATTGACTTTTAGTGACAACGAAATCGATTTTTAATAAACTTTTCAAAGGAGATTTTTTTTTGCATTTAAGTGTTATAAATTTTTATCAAATAATCGTAATATAGCTTCGTTACACAATATATCTTTCTAA